ACAGCTTGCCGTAATCCGTCACTCAGCCAGAAGTACGCGCCTATAATGATCGGCTACTAGTTACATATTTCTCAGGCACACCTTTCCTTAGTGGACAGTCCCAAACTGCACATCGATTCACCGAATTGATGGCGAATTTGGTTTCGAGGAGCACGAAAATGGTGGACCGCCAATATATGTGACGGTGCTCCAACGGCTGACGCAAGGTCAAAATGTGGTCGATGCAGCCGCGATCCCCACGAAACCCGGCTTGCTCTCCATGAAGCTGGTTTTCGCGACTGCCAGTCATTTTGTGAAGGATGGCAGACGTAAGCAGTTTGGAGACGATCGAGTTCAGACTGATTCCTCTATGGTTGCCGCATTCCGATCTTGAGCCCCTTATGAAAATTGGGATTATAACGGAACTGCTCCAGTCGGTTGGCCCAGTTTACTGCTCCCACAGTTTCACACGTTGCGCATCTGAGGCAAATTTCCGTGCATAGATTTGAAACTTGTTGCAAGCGACTGTTGAAGCAAGACGAGGGAGGGCCAAGAATTGGGGGGTTGAAAACGGAAGGCGGATGAAACTGAATTTGGAACGGGACGATAAAGATGAAACTGCACAGTAGAGGAAATAAGAAGATGGGTAGGCTTGAGCATTAACATCCAAAGCCCAATCCACACTGCTCGGTGCAGCAGGTAGGGCGCCGTTGCTTATCCACGACGACGGCCATTAAATCAAGAATTTGTTTGAAGGAGAATTAATAGGGACATTTTGGATTGGCAGGATACTATCAGGTTGCCCAGGACAAAATGGGAGAACGATTGAGGTCCTTAACCCAAGCCCTTGGTTAAAAATCCAGACAGCAAGGCAGCGGGGTATTGGTCCTATTCTACCTAGAGTCCATTTAACGGAATGAGAAGCCAACCTATCTATAACTCCCAACCGGAATGGCCAGGAGACTGGGATTTTCTGGCCTCTAACAAATGACCAATCTGATAGGAAATAGCTCTTAAAGTCCAAAAAGTCTACGATCAGCATAACGCAATGGATTAATAAAGCACCAAAACCATCGCACGAAATTAAGCTGCAGTCTCCTCGCGATGGTCTGTCTATTGATAGTGACATGAGAGATGTGTCAGCTGTGCGCCGTAACGGCGCTTCGCTGCCGCGCGACCACCTCCAGTCGCGTACGGGCTGTGTATATCGCGAGGAGACTCACCCCCACGCGGATTCCAACTGGTGACCTTATGATTGCAAGCCAGGCGTGCAGACCACTCATCCACCGGCCGAATCGATCAGTAGATAATAACTCATAAAAGCGTTTTTATACTTTACGGTATATTTAATGTAACCTGAACAACAAACAAATGGATAAAATTTTCTTTTTCCATTATAAACTTAGAGGAAACGCATCGGAAATATATCGTGACATCGGCGTTGTATTTGGTTTTGGAAACGCTAGTATCCGTACTGCACACTGGTAGCTAAAATATTTCGAAGATTTTACGAGAAGCTTGAAGCTGAACAGGGTTGTAGACAGCCAACGAAAGTAAACCATAACCAACTAAGAACCTTGGATAAAGCGGATCCGCGTAAGACTGTTCACAAACTTGCTTCTGACTTTGTAGTACCGCATGGGATGGTTTTCAAATATTTACAGGAAATTTGAATGCCATATCACAATATAATCAAAGTAATCGCCGTTTTGAAGTGTCGTCTGCTATTGTTTTCACAGTGAAAGCGACTTGTTGCTTGACTGGATTTTAAGGTGCAATAAAAATTTGATCCTTCACGACAATTGACGATGTACTTCTCAGTGATTGGGACGCAACTAGGCTCCACGTCACTTCCTGAATAGCAATTTCGCGAAAATGCTTATGGTGGTTTTTTGGTGGTTTTCAAGTCGTCCGATCTTGCGCAGCTTTCCAAACCACGTGAACCAATTACAGCGGTGAATTATTGCCAACTATGTGCCGAAGTTCACCAAAAAGTTCAACACGTGTCTCAATTGCTGGTTAACAGAAAGTAATCGATTTCTCTCCATGATAACCTTCATCCGCAAGTTGCACTACTTTTCAAGCATCTGAATAACTTCCTCTAATAGCGATGTTGCAGAACCAAGGAAGATGCCAAAATCTCATTTAACGAGTGCATCACCGCCCGAAACCCGAACATGTCTACATCCGGATATAAAAAACATGAATTCCTTCGGTACAATTTTTCATTGCAAATATATTTTACTTCATTTCAAATATTACATTTTGCGTTCAAACTTTTAAGAGGGAAAACCGGAATAACCGCTGACCACACAATATACTTGCTTTTTCTAGGAGTGCAACATAGAGCAAGCTGGAACTCATGATTTTCAACAAATTTTAAGGGCTCTTGTCTACTATCTGCACGAGAGATGCAAAAGCTTTGCATTTAAGATAGTCGTTTTGCCCAGAACTAGTGTCCACTCACTCTTACTCAAAGCTTTGTGCAGTAATGCAATGCAAATCGTGGATATGCAGTTTATTAATAGAAGTTCCAGCATGCCTGGTTAGCAAATGTTCGCTTGAAATAGGTAACGTGAATTGGGTAACAAAGCTATTTTACCAGCTTTGTCTTGCTTAACAAGTAGTGAATAATTGTGCATTGTCTAGCTATAAAACCTGAGTGACATGGGTGGACAAGATCTCTGAGGAATTGTAATTTGTGCGATACTTAGTGACAACAAATGGATATCCAAATTTGCTCGTTAAATAAAGTATATGGCCCCACCCAATCTACGAAAAACTTGGTTGAACCCTAAAGGCATCCGTCGGATGCCTCCTCCTGGTAGATGGCCAAAACAGTTACTATTGTGATGCATGAGTCATCCAGACATCCAGTCTACACTGGCTTCATGACAATTGCGTAGGCTGTGGACTGCCAGATACACATGCCGTCGACTGCATCGAGACCGGTTAACTAGCTGGCTCATTATGTCAATTTGTGTCTCCGAATTTGTATTATTATTTATTGTTCTCCTTCATTTTATTATCCCTATCGATAGTGGAATGCCAACGCAACAATATCCCATCTCTACTGCATTTGATATATTCGTAAATGTGATAAAGCTTACAATACTAGTAGAGTAACTCGAGGGTATGTAGATGCACTTCAAGTTGTTTCCATGCTAAGAATATGGAATAATCAGATTACTACTCTTCCGTTGCACGAACTGTTTGCACATTAGCTGCTAACCGACCAGGCGGATAACTATGTGTAACCTAAGTATTTATGCTCAAAGTCAGTTATTAATTAAATATCTAGGAAGCCGCATAGAACCGACAGGTATGTTAGAATTTCGGTTTATTGTCGTTTTGTATTGCGGCTACGTTTTACTCTTGACACAACACTTTCTCTAGGCCTGAAGAACCTCGCGTTAAGAGCAAACGGCAACCACAGTGCGAACATACATCAATCTGCCATAAACTTTCTGAAATCAATTATATTGAATAATCATGCAGTCGCTTCGATTTTACCCGAAGCAACATTTAATCTTCATCGCCTTTTAAGAATCCTTCACACAACACTACACTTGAGCACTTTGCGTGGATTTAGGCACGTGTACCCTTTAGTATGCAAGTGTATAAAGTGTGTGTCTAACAGTTGTGAATAACTCTGCTCAGGCCTAACGTAAGACGATAGATGCAGAAGATTTCAATTGTAGTGCTACGTTTAAGATTACCAATTGATTGTTTCATCTTCCGAATGGTGCAAAGCAGGTGTTGCAAAGAATTTGATATGACCACTACAGAACCAGTTTAAAAACAGCAATACGGCGGAACATGCAAAGCCGATAAGGGGAACGCGTTTGCCTATTTGGTACAGTTCACAAAATTAACCTTTCTTGCCAGCCTTGATCTTAAGACGCTAAGGATTTTTGACTGTGCGCTCCGCACGATTCCTTCTACCAAAGCTGCAACACTCCAGTTAAATAAAGTGCACTGTTTTTATACAGCTACCTGATCAATTACTGACTAAATTCTTTTGCAGCCACCAGCCACATCACATTGGTGGGAATGATGTTGTGCTTCTACAACGTCAATAAAATTAACTTTAGTAATTCACCTAATTTTTGAATTTGCAGCTATTATGCCATGTTACTATATTTAATGCTACAAACATAAAAGGTTAAGCCAGACGGGTATTTAATGTATGCATGGCTATTAAATTGTCATAGTATCTGTTCACTTATAGCAACACATACTAATTCGTTTAAGTTTCTGCATTTTCCTTGAAATGTAACAAGCAAAGTCATTTAGATTGCGTTTAGGTATATACCAAACACATACTTTGTTGATAGAACTACGGAGTCAGCCCGCTTCCCAAGTATATGTCTGCTACCGCCTGTTTTTATCTCTTGCGATATTGCAACCCTGAATTCTTTCCTATGTCTCCTGTGTAATCAGATGAACTGCTGTTCGAAACTTGAAATTTTGCTTCGCTTTCCTTGGTCTGGGTGACATACAATGATGTTCTATCGCATTCATCAGTGTAAACTGACCACCTACTGGTATCCGCAGGTAAAGGTTGCAGCCATTAGTATTGCAGAAAGACGTGCCATTTGTCATTACCAGGTTAGCCAGAAAAAGTCTGGTCACTGTACAGACATGGTGATATTTTTCACCATAGTTTTTCACTTGTGTATAAGGGACATAATCTCGAGGATCGATGCCAGTTTGTTCAAAACCAAAGAAATAATGATATTTTCTCCCAGTTCTAAGATTTGTTTTAAACGGCCTCTTTCGGCACGTTTCGTTGGTATTCCCTAAATTATCAGATACATTTGTCGAGGATTGTCGGACATTTACTTGGTTGCTCGAACTCAAAATGCATAGTGTATACTGCAATCATATGGCACAGGTAAGTTGCGCTTATAAGCACTAATTATCTGCATTAAATTTTGGATGGTAACTGGTCTTTCTCAAGAAAACCAAGTATGCAGTTACACAAACTCAAAGGTTGAAAAAAAGAATTGAGATCTTACCTGATTTTATAACGAAGAGGTAACCCTTATGGTCCAAGCCGAAATCATTGTCTTGTAACTGGGGAACCTCCACCTGCGTTTCTTTGAGCGACAATTTTCCGAGTAGCCGTAGCTCCTCTGGGTTAGTGAAGTAAGATAGCTGGTAACCTTCAAGGATAAAATAGCGTTTTTTCCAGCTTTTAAATTTTCCGCCCATCTTTCTGAGCCATCCTTTGTGGTGATACAAAGGTGATATGATGGGGTCTATTCCTGAACTGTCCTGAAATATTGTAATGTTGGTTTGTGAATAACAAAACAATCACAACAGTCATCTCTATTCGCAAACTATGTGATTTATGATAAAAATTGTAAGTGGCATACGTACTTGCTAGTTTTAGCAGCTTGCCACGTATTTTAAAGAATTAAAGGAGCTATTTGCTTCTGAGGGAAATAATTCAAGTAGAAGAAAGAATGTACACCGGTTCTACCTTATAGAATGCCCGAACGTGAACGTCACTGCAGTAAAACTAACTGCGTTGTCTCATAGAGAGATGTCTGCAAGTCCGATTGCGAAATACTCACTAGGGGCGCGCGCGGTTGATGAGGGAAATTTTTCAGTAGAACCTTTGGTCTGTCAGTAGGAAACTAATGACATTTAAAGCGGCAAAACTGTACCGGACGTCGTCACAGTTTTTGCCATACGATGATCCATGGGTTAGCAGAGAAGTTTCGGTTTTGAATTATGAACTGAAAGAACATTTGCTTTCTGGTTAGGAAGGAAGAGCATCGGTGCTCTTTCTTGTACGTGAACAAATGTCAACATTTCACTCGCGTAAACTCAGCACATTGCGTGAAAATTTATTTGGACAGCTGATTAATGTGGTCCACACAACCGAAGGGCAAGTTTTTGTTGTCATTTAATTCCAGATAACTCATTATAAGCAAGCAACTCAAAGATACCGTAGTGATGGTATAACCACTTACATTTCCATTACATTTCATAATCAAATGACAAGTGTTTCAAAAAGTTATCACTTAAAACCAAATTTTGCGCTAATAAAACCCAAATCGATTTGAGATAGCCTGTCATAAACTGGCATGAGGTTCACTGCAGGCTTTGGAGTGATGTGGCATGACAGAAAGTTGGTATCGTTAGTAAAGTTAATATAATCGACTATCTGGGTTACAAATGGGCTTACAGTTTTGCGAATTTTAGTTCACAACATAAATAATATGACACGTAACACAAAACCAAAATGCCTGAAACTAAAGTTAACAAAATAGAATAATAAATGTTGTTGGAGAGTCAAGCTTGGACTACACGTTGTGTGATTGGATTGCGACGCGCAATCTCAATGTAATGGACTGTGGTTCCCATTGAAGTGAACCTTAGTCACGGCGATCACTGGGACCGTACTCAAAGCAGTTGGAAACTGGGTGTTGCCCACCCGAAAACACTGCACAACCGCGACGCGTTTCGATGTGATTTCATCTCATCAGGTGGAGACAGCAGGCCTCGATCCCGCGACCATTGGAATAGTAGCCGAAACCTCTACCCCTTTGGCTACCGGGTCTCTGTGGGCAACGCTTGGCACAACGGTAATGACTAATAAATGTTGGTGCTTAATCAGATGTAGTATTTCATATCAAAGCGAAGGCAAATGCGTACCAATGCATGCAAAACAACTTATTGAGCACATTTTGCAAATAGCTGCATTGGGTTTTGAAAGTAATTTTAACTTTAATAATGCCAGCTTCACCCAGAGTAATAAGTCGGATGGTTCATCATGCCTTATATTGTCATGCTGATAACCTATAAGATGCTTACTTCGCCTGATCAAATACATTAGTGACCATCCCATGGAGAAAAAATTATCGCTTGGGAAGCTACAGCTAGATGTGACGTAAGGGCGTGCACTTACTGCAGCAAGTCTTTTTATAAGAGCATTGGATTTTGATCCGTTGCTGAGGTTTAGATGGATTCCAACTGTGTACTGCACTCTTAACTACCGACGAGAAAGTCATTTTACAAAATGAAAGCTTGTGTTGAAAATTTGTACAGCTAGTGTAGGATTGAGAAATACAAGTGCATAGAACAGGTATGTTTTAGTCTGCCACACTCAAATGCTTTCGGCTAAAAGTCCGTAACAAATGGTCAGTCAAATAAATGCACATTTATTATAAAATCGGCTTACGAATCATCACAGGAAACAATGAGTTAATGCTTATCAATAATTGTGGAAAATGGATATTTTATAATACTAATTTATATGCGGTTTTTTATACACCTTAAAACTGCTGCCCAAAGTTTCAGACAATTTTCAATGAAGTGGTGGTACTAGCCTTTATCTACCCATTTTTAACAGCTGCTATTTATAGAAACTTTGTGAACACGCTTTCCAGACGGTTGGAAATAAATTATGAAGGCAACTGTAACAATCTATACCGCGGTTTTGCAGGTCCAGTCTCAGGATCCGTTTCAACAAACACCCAATGGTGTTCAGTTTAGAGATGTCGAATAATCTATTAAAAGGATAGACTTTTTCTACTGTGTCATTAATCGTTCAGCAAAAGGTTATTTGTAAGTTATACTGGCTAGCTAGAAGCATGCTGGGTTGCAACAGTCTTAGAAATAAATCACTATATAATTATCGTATTGCAATTCAGGAGACAATTAAGTTTTTATGGAACAAGTAAGATATAGTGCATTTATGTTTGACACACGAAGCTAAGTATACACATGACTTGAAAGTGACTTTAATGCTTTTCAACGTTAGTTGAAGTCAGTGCTATGAAATATGACTTATTTCTAGCAGCAGTTAAATAGACAGCAGTAGCATAGGAGAGATGCAAACAAACTTATCTTTTTGTTTATATGTCATTTCTCAAACGTAATTATTCAAAATGGACTTTTCCCCACTAAAACCCATAGTACTCGTATGGAAACGCTATAAACTGATGTCATGAGACCAACAGCCCAGCAGTCTTCGTGTCGTTTTGTCGCCTTTTCCATTAATTTGAAGCGGAACTAAATACGCGTTTATTCAGTTTGTGCGTTGCTTTTTCTCTGATTTCTGCGACGGTTTACATTCTCTAGCAATTCCAGCTACCAAAATTTCTCATCCCTGAGTCCCCATGAACGACTATGCATAGTAACAGCGACGGATATTCAGGTTCTACTCGGGCTCCTGCTCTGTTTCCTGTAGGCTGATTGCCATGCAGTTTCATTCCGTTTTTATGCTAACGAATAAGCTGCGATGAGATAATGTGTAGACGGAAGTTAAGTTCGATGCTATCAGCATCACTGGTGGTCTTCTTCATGCACTCTGCGAAGGACTGCGAGCTTGCGGATGTCATCCGCTCGAATTAAACGGTATTTGTCCTAGTCAATGGTGATGTTTAAATGGAGTTGCAAGCTTGAAACTGTGGCAAGTGTTTAAGATTGGTAAGCTACAACCTTGACATTGCAATCAGCGCACAACGGGCTCATTAAGCAAACAAAGCTACTCATCTTCTTGGGTTGCGTACCTACAAAGGCAAGTTTTGGAATATGGAAATAGCATTCATGGAGCTGGAGATAACTCTCAGTTGAAAAGGAGCATCTAACGTATCCAGACAATGTGTTGTACTAACAGTACGGCACATGTTATATATCATGTACTTTAATACTCACAGAAACCTAATAAGACCTAACTGGCTAGAGCGGCTGAGTACGATGGTATATTACTGCCAGCAAGAAACAAATGTTTTACTAACAGGTGTCATCCGGGCTGTTCGTTTTTATGTCATCCAGGCGACGGATGCATAAAAACGCTTTATTTACTTCGAGATTTAACCAACAAGAGAAAATACGATAATATTTTGAAGAACACATATAACGACGCTGGCAAATCCTTACCATGAATCGTTTATCTAAAATAGGAAACAGTACTTTCGCGCCTTCTTTTAAAACAGATAGAATGAACGTCTAATTGGAGGTAGCTTTACATTTAATCTATTTGCCACTTCTTGTTAATAACGGATTTTGGATTGGGCACAATGAAATCGCAGTTGCAAACCATTTGTGATATATATCTTCCAAAGAAAATGTACCTTTCTTTACGTTCTATAGAGCAAGTTTCAAAGCGTACATTATAGTTACGTCCTCAAATTGCTTAACAGCGGCCGTTTTACTTTTCTACATTCTCTAAGTCTGACTGAAACACATGAAAAACTATGTAGAGTCGCAGTAGCGATGTGACTTCCAGCACATACAGTTTAGTAGTCAGAAACTAAGTCTTATTAACACGCTTCGGAACTCCATACCACCCTTGAATCCAACCCTTTCTTAGCTTCTAATTTATTTCGACTAATACAACTTTAATCTGTTAGGTGGTATCTTTTAGCTGAAAAGTTCGCTTCCTTTTATCTAATTTTTATGCTGTGAGCAAATTTATTTAATATGATGACCAGACTCCAGGTAACTAGATCTACAGCTGTTTATCACTAAACCGCGCTCAAATTATCGGAAAGTGGAAGCACACAAACATGTAAATGACAGCATCACCTGTAATCAAACTAAACTTTGTCTAGCAAAAATGTGATTACTGTAACTGATAAACACTTAATATTCTTCCATTCCAATAATATATACTACCAGCGGTTTCAGCATTTTGTTGTCTTCACGTTAAGTTCCCCAAGATTCGATCGTGACGTGATGTGTTGTGATTGCAGGTAAGAACGTTCAGTGGTTGGACCCTTACTCCCTTTACCTACACTTGTTTAACCATCATCGTTTTCCATTTATAGTGCAAATGCCATGTGCTTGGACAAGTGACAGATCGCAACTTAGAACTTAACACAGGAATTGATCGTGTCCTCCTTTAGTGCTTGCTGAGGTTAGGTCAGCTTTCACTTTTCAAACAAAAAATGAACGCTGTAGTTCTCGATAAATCTAGAGGATAATTTCCCATTTGCCTGCTTTAGCATAAATCGTCCATGAAATTGCGCCTCATAACTTCTGCTTCATCAGAATTTAGGAAAATTCTAGATATGTTTACAACGACAGTTCCTTAGACCCACATTAATTATGTGTCACGTGGTAATGTCATAGCTTAGACAGCATGTTATGTTAAATGCAATCACCCATAAACTCACAAGGTTACATGAACTCCTATGTGTGGTAAACGAATGCAGTTATAACCACGAGATTTGCTATCGCTATTATCCATTTTCATCTAACAAGATAATCCCCTGTTCCAACCAATATAAGTAAATCTTCGTCAAGGATTCTAGCAAAAA